GCCTCTTGGATAATCGCTTGGTGAGCGTTGTGGCAGGGGTTGGTGGAAAACATCACACTTGCGGCTTCCAGATGAGCAAACGGCCGGCGGTTGGCTTTTGGCAGCCGGGGTCTAGACCAGGTCCAGACTGAGCGATGAAAATGTGGAGTGACCGGGGTGCCGGATCTGGACTGGTAGATGAAGACCGAAAGGCCAGAAGTTGATGAAGGATGCAGGAGACGGAAGAGGCCCAGCAGACAGCTTCCGACCCGGGGTGGGGCGTGTGCCGGAGATCTGTGCTTTTCCTGGGTGGGGCCCGATCTGGCGTCCACATCTGGCGGGACCATCCGGCGGTAGAGCATCTTTTGGATGTGACCATCCACCCCACCTTTTCGGCCGGCCACCCCAACCTTCATCGTCCAGAACGACTGCATCGACGGAACTGGCGACCTTTGCTTTGTTTTTCGGGCGTCAGCTAAGGTCTCTTATAGCGCTTTACCCTGACTGCCGTTGCATCGAGTCGCCGTCCTCATTCCAGATTGCACCACCCGCAGACTAGTCAGCTCATGGACTTCCTGTTCAAGGCTGAGAAGAGCACGCCCAGGAACAAAAAGGGGCCTCGCGACAGTATCCGGAAAGGTGGATCTGGCATGGCGGCGGGCATGTTTCTGGCCTACCGCGTGCCTCAGGTCTACACATGCAGTCTTGACTGGTAATCTATCAACTGACTTCTGGTACGTGACCATAGAAACGGCATTGGCTATGATAGTGTCAGCTCGAATGGTGTTATGAGAGTGGTCGTGAGACCGGGTGAGCTAGCATCCCAGCTTAGCGTAGCACAAACAAGCATTGAATTTTATACTATGTACTGTAGGAAATAGTCAAGATGCGTCTGTCCGAAGACCTCATGACAGGAGGGGCCCCAGAACGTGACATGACATATGGTACCGTCTGACACTAGATCACGTTTGATTGCATGATGTGAGAGATGTCGTGTTCCTGTTCAGGTCTTAGGTCTTTTGTTCTTGATCGACTGAGGAAGCTTGTAATGTGGGATATGCTATGTAAACGATGACGGAAAACCCATTCTCGGTTCTGCCAACTCCTAATGATAG